AAAAAAACTTTTGTAGTGATAATCAAGATGGCCCATTTCAGACAGTTGACAAAAAGGTGTGAGGATACTTAACATGGGGAAATAGATTCAATTTGTGTAATGACCTAGCCACTCCCAGTCTCTATTCAAGCCCAAATTAATGGTATCTAGTTTGCATATTAATTCAAGTTCAGCAGTTTCTTGTTGGAGTCTGTTTTTGAAGCTTTTCTGTTGCAAAATTGCTACCTTTAAGTCTGTTACTGAGTGACCAGAGAGGTTGAAGTGTTCTCCTACTGGTTTTTGAATGTTATGATTCCTGATGTCAGATTTGTGTTCATTTATTCTTTTGCATAGAGACTGTCCGGTTTGGTCAATGTACATGGCAGAGGGGCATTGCTGGCACATGATGGCATATATCACATAGACACTCTCTACGCAAAAGAATAAATGATCCTGAATACCAATCAGTCCTTTTAGTTGTTCCTAAGTATGGTAATGTCAATTCAGCACACCAAATTGTTCACATAAAGCACCTTATGCAGTAGCTAACATTGCTTTATTCAAATATGCTACCTGTAATTTGGCATAGGGAGGCTGTGGGGGGAGATGGGCAAGAAGTCTTCCCCTGTTTGTACCAGGGCCAAGTACAATAGTGATCTCTCTGAGCATGGATTGGTAGTCTTGCTCCCTCTCTTCACTGACTTGCCAAGCAGGATCAGTGCATCAGGGCACTAACTGATGCCATCTTAATGGATGGTGCAGAGCGTGCACTAGCTCCAGAGAGATTCTGCGTCTTGAAAGGCAAATCCTCCTGATGCTTCCCCAGTGTGGTGTGGCTCCAAGCTGCACCCTACAAAAGGCTGTCTGCAAATTGTACCACAGAACCTGTGGAAAATAACAGCAATAGCAATGAGTTCAATACCAGCAGGAATAAGGCCCTAAATAGAGATTATGTTGTGGTAGTTAATTCAGTTTTCATTTTCTGTCTAAAAGTGAATCCCCAGTTTCCCTGTCATAGGCAGCTTCTGGGTCTGGAAGAACTGGCCATGATGACCACTGTTTTCTGAGGGCAGGTGTTGCATACCATGTTTGCCAGCTAAGAATATAATGCTAGGTCATTAGTGGTAGAGTATGTTTGGGGCTTTCTGAATCTCTAGGTTGTTCTTCCCTCTCTGGACTTCCTTATTTTGATCTCTCTGGAGTGTCTTTTATATTCTTGCCGATTTCTCTGTCAAGGAGATGAGAGGCACGCACAGATGCTTGTTTATTTACTATGAAAATGGAGAGAACAGAGAACCTATTTTAGGTATGTGTCAATGCTTTATATGTGTCTTGTTGGTGTGATAATATGATTCTCTGAAAAACTCAAACGGAAAGATTTAGAGAGGAAAAGTCAGAGAGGTCACCATCTGTGTCATTACATGTCCTACTAAGCAGTGTTTTAGCAGCTATAATGTGAGGGAAGAGTTGCTGAATGGCACGTTAGAGAAGTATTGACTGTAACAAATTATGAGGGCTCATGAAACAGTGTTAAAAATTCTGATACAGGATGATAAGAATGAGAGAAAAGGTTTAGGATCTCCTCTCAGTGATAAAAGTGTTACCTACCAGTCCTGTCAATTTAGTCTTTTGGCACCACAATTGCTAGTATCAGTGTATATGTAAGTGTCCTTACATGTTGCTAAAATAAAGGCACAGGAAATAACACAAATTATCCCTGTTATGACTGTATAATTATACGGGAGAAAATGACAAATTTACATAGCTTAGTGTGTTGAATAAATTATTTGTACAGGGCACAATTGAAACACATATCTACAGACTAACACATCATAAAACATAGGTGACATTTAAAGCAAAACTCACAATTTTAACTGATATTACTTTATTTTTTCTGAAGAAGCCAAGAAAATGCTGCTTTATGTGAATAAAAATGTTCTATCTACCTGTCATGATGTCTGGAGTAGTTCATAACTGAGAGTGCCAACCTCAGGGCAGACTGTCAAAAAGCAGGACAGACACCCCAAACTGATTGCATTTTCTATAATTAGATTTCACCAACCCAGTAACAAATGTGAACTCCCAAAGTACTACAATAGCCTTATAATGGAGTCACAGACAGTCCCCTTTGACACTCCAGGCTATCTTGCTACCCAGGTAAGATGGACTATGTGATAAATTGTCACTTATACCAAAGATCACAAAATGTTCAGATTGCTCCCAGTCCCAAAGATCAGTCACTTACCCCAGGTCAATTTGTACTTTAGATCTCACACCAAAGACAATGCTTGAAGCCAATCCTGTGGTAAACTAAGTAAAAGTATATTAACTAGGAAAAAGAAAAAGTTATTTATAGGTTAAAGCAAGCAAGCATATATACACAATGAGTTTCAGTCTGTGATTCAAAAGGTGACAGTTGTAGTAATCTGTCAGTTCAAATTTATTTCAGGACTAACCCATGCCAAGCAGCATGGGGGTCTCTTTGCTTATGTCTAGGAATCTTTGCCCCTCACAGTACAGACAGCATAAAGGAGATTCAGTTTCTCCTTAGCAGGGATTTTTATCCCCTCCACTCCAGGGGCCAAACTGATGGGATGAGTTCATGCACAGGGCCGTCCTCCTTGGAGGTAATTAGGAATGCAGTCAACAGGGATTCTCTCCTTTGATGCTACACCATAGCTCATTTGCCTTCAACAGGCCATCTTGTACGCAGGATGAGCCCTTTGCATTAATGCTTCATTTCCTGTTTGGTGAGTTACACAATAACAGAGATTTACAATGCAAACACTCAATATAACGTTACACCATGGGCTATAGAGGTTACAAATGAGATTAATGCATGCAGCATCCTACAAGCATTTTATCAAGTCTAAACATTATTACATTGATAAGAATGTGTTTATCTAATAGCTATTTTAATAATGCTAACACACAGGTAAGGAAGACAGGTTTCCAGCTATGTATTTGCAAGTGTTCAGTGAGGCCTGGGGCCTTGTCATGAGCTGGAACCTGGTCTGTCAGCATCATACTAACCAACCAACCAACTATATCTTCTGGTGCCCTCTTTTGGCCTGAAGATTGCAATGGCTGGTATGGCCCTCTTCCAGCCGTATAAAGTCCCATTGGTACAAGACACAGATATCAAGGTGATGCATACTGCAAAGAATTTACGACCTAGTACATACAAGACTCATTAAAGACACAGAGGAAAGAGTCACTTCAAATAATTTTTTTAAATCTATTTTTGTCAATATTTGCATTAGCTAGACTTCAGTTAATTAACTTTGAAGATTGTTAGGACAAAGACTTGCAAAGGGATCAGACTTTCTTACACTGAATTTGTCTCTTTGTAAATCAGAATGTTGAAGATGGACCTGGATTTGTTTTTAATACTTCAGTTGTATAAACTGCATATATTAGCTATATTTTCAAAGTGCTGCACAGAAATTTAGCTACATGATTTGCATTTACCATCACTGGGAGTGATGCAGTTAAATCACTAAACATGCCTGAATATATGTCATTTTTATTCACATTCTGTTTGTTTTCATTTACATTCTAAAATCTTCTTCATCTCTGTCATAGGTACGCTAGTTCTGCCAGTGACCGTCAAGGGAGCACATCCATGAGGAAGGTAAATAATTATTGCACTACCTTAAAAACAAAAATATTCCAACCAATCTAATTTCATTATTACATATTACTTATTTGTTTGTTTGTATTATAATAATGCTTAAGAACCCCGGTCATTGTCCAGGACCCCATCGGCGCTATACAATCCCAGAACAAAAAAGCCAGTCCCTGTCCCAAAGAGCTTACAATCTAAGTTTCACTGTTATATCTTGATGTAAAGAATACTCGGGGTATTATAGTCTTTGAGTTTTGTCTATACTGATGAAAGACTTGAAAAGTCAAGATTTCTCAAGTAATACAGAAACGATGAGCAACATTATAGTTACAAAAAATGAGTAGTCCAGGGCATGCTTTAAAGCTCAAAACATTGAAAGTGCATTCAAATTACCTGCAAAGATGGTGGATTAGGCATTGGAAGGAATCTTGTAAATTTTCCAAGGCATGCATGAGTATGGGAGAGAGGTTTACTTTATTTTGTCCTTATATTTCTAAAATTCTCCACTGCATGTGATTTTTAAACAATGCCAGGATTTTTATATCAAAATGTCTCCATTCCCTTCTTTAGGCCAAAGTTTTGGCTTGCCCTGTATGTCCTACCAGGGACTCAGGAAATAAAAAGGACCCCTCAATCTCCTACGCTGTCTATCTGCCTTACAGATTACTGTGCAGGGCTGGGGAGCAGCTCCTGCAAGACCACTATTCACCACTCCAACCCCATGCAAAAGAGGGTTGGGAGTAGGAGGAACCCTAACTCTTCCTCCTAATACACCAGCTGGCACATCTGTGCCCAATTACTTCCCCCAGGAGCAATGGAGAAGAGGAAATTTTCACTTTGCATCACAATTCAGTTCCTAGTCTCTTTCTGGGTTAATGTAATTATGCTGCCCCATATCTCGTGGTAACTATACATTCAAGCCCTACATTGTTTATTTTGTTTATTAATTACTTTAAATGTAATAAACAGATAATAAGGTTGAATTTAAATAATGGTACTTACTTCATCTGTAAATCTCAAAGTGCTTTACGAAGGAGGTCAGTATCATTATCCCATTTTACAGACAGGGAAACTACAGAATGGCACAGAGCAGTAAGGCAACTTGACCAAGGTCACCTAGCAGATCAGTGGCAATTCAGGAATAGAACCCAATTCTCTTGATTCCTAATCTAGTAATCTGTCCACTAGGCCACATGTATTCTTTTAAAACACTTTAGCTTTAATCCACCTAAATATATAGCTTTAAAATTATGTCTACATAAGAGAAAATTATATTTGATTGTCTTTGTTGATTTTTGTCCATGGTTTCTTTGGTCAGAATTCAGCCTTCAGATACAACATGCAAAAATTCTGTTGAACTCAATGGAAGTTGCAGCCACATAGCTGAGGGCAGAATATAGTCCTCTGCCAGACTGCTATGAGTTTTCATTTCCTTCTGGTTATGTGCTGCGTAGCACACATACTTAATAAACAGAACTGAAGTGCACTGGACAAAATGCCTTGGTGTCTAATCGCTTTTTGCTTATTACTTGAGTTTGCATTCTGTTCAAATTAAGATCAACATTTATAGCAAATTGTATAAGCAAGTGGATTTGGTGATTAAAGTTTTCTTCAAACTTTGAAACAAGAAACAGACTTTTAAAAGCTCCTAAGAATTGATTGATAACATCACACCTTTACATCTTAGTCTAGATAAGGCCTGGGAAAAGGTATAAAGGGCTAGTCCCTGGTACTGGGATTTTCTGTAAGAATGATGACCATTTATAATAATGAAAGACTTCCCAATTAAACTCGTTGTTACTTAAAATCTATATCTCAGAATGAGGATTAGAAAAACCTGAGAGAGGACAACATGCCATCTGCAAGAATAGGCATGTATGCAAGTAGCTAGAAGACTGCAAGTAGCTAGAAGACTATGAGTAGATGACATGTTTTTTGTGGCCAGATTTCCAGTTTTTAACAGCTAAACATGTGAGGCCTTATGTCTTCACCAGATAAAAGATGCTTTTTTAAATCAAGACAGCTGACTCAATGTTGCTGAGAGATTAGAGACTGCTAGGAGTGAGCAGGCTCTATCAGGGAGTCCTGGGAGTTAGGAATCAGACTCCAGCCACGTGGGGCCTGGGAGTGGCCTGCCAAAGCAGGCGAAGTCCAGGCAGGAAGGAGAGAAAGAAGCTCCAGGGAGAAAAAACAGGAATCTTTGTTTGTGTGGACTTTTGGATAGACTTAAAATCTTTATTTTTAATGTTTGTTCAAGTAATAAAGCACAATCAGAGAAGGGATGGGAATAGACAAGTGATTTTTAGTTTCTTGAACAATCCAAGAAGGGAAATGAGACAGGCTGCCTGTAGGCCATGAGGGACGCAGTGGACACTTCTGGCCCACTACAATGACATATTCTGTGTGTTTTTCATTGACTTGCAGAAACAGTGTCACCATTCTCATGGACCACTGTAAATAACTATTTTCCTTTTTTGTCCTAGTCTGACATTTCAGGGCATAAAAAACACATTACCTTCTGAACAAATTGAAAGATAACATGTCATTTCCAAGAATTTCTGTGCTATCTGGCACATAAAACTAGTGATCATTTGCAAAACCAGATGCACATATATATATATATATGTATGTATGTATGTACACACAAATATCTGTGTAATGTTACTGTTATCAGTGCAACTTTAGTTTAAGGATAATCTTTTATTGCCTGATTCTAAAAATAGTTACTCTAGGTAATTCCACACCACTATTTAAAAATCTTTAATTTTTTTCTACATGATCATACTCCCAGATGGACCTAACGTTTGGTAGTTTCGGGCTAAATAATTTTAAGGAGAAACAGGAAGGCGATCCTGAACAATATAACATGGTTCACAAATATCTTTTAATGGATGAGGAACAATAAGAAAAGAAAGGGATTAAATCAAACAGCTATAATTGTAGCTACTACTTGGATGTTTTCAGGTGACAGTAAGAATAATTTGCTTAAAGAGGCCTGATGTAAGTTCCTAGAATTGGCCTGCATCTCTGATACTGGTTGTTTGTTATAGTTATTTTCAAAATGGGAGCTACACTATTTTAAAATATACTCATCAACGCCTTGCATAAAAAATGAATTTTAGGGTTTAATCTTCAATTCAACATTTTTTTTCTTATCCTATAACCAATATAGATTACCAAGATGGGGAGTATCTAGACTATGTTGGGCCTGATTCTCCACTGCTGTATGTCTTGTATAGTAATTCACCTCAATGCAAAATGAATATCCTAGTGGGTAAAAAATATTAAAATTCTGATCTGATAATGTGTCTCCCATTGTGCAGTGTAATTGACTACACAGGTGCCAAGGAGTAGAGAATCAGGCTTTTGCAGACAGGTCCTCTGCTAGTGTAAATTGGTGTAGCTCCAGTAAAGCTGAGGAGCTATATCTGAGTATCTGTCCCCTTGTGTCTAGTTCATGACAGAAGCTGCTCAAGCTGCTCCATATTGGTAAAATGTAAACATAATTCATAGATTCATAGATTCTAGGACTGGAAGGGACCTCGAGAGGTCATCGAGTCCAATCCACTGCCCTCATGGCAGGACCAAATACTGTCTAGACCATCCCGGATAGACATTTATCTAACCTACTCTTAAATATCTCCAGAGATGGAGATTCCACAACCTCCCTAGGCAGTTTATTCCAGTGTTTAACCACCCTGACAGTTAGGAACTTTTTCCTAATGTCCAA